AGTTATTGCCATATTACCTGGCCTAGATTTACTGGAAAGAAACAATGGGGTTGCCTTGCTGTTTTCAGAGTTTGTCTTCTTATCTTCAGCAGCCTGCACAAAATTAACACACTAGCATTGCTATCATTGGCCAAGTCAGATAATAGGAAAGCAACATTGACACAACTGACGTTTGGGCAACTAGCCTACACAAAATTAACACAATATGGCACAGGTATCATCAGCCAGGTAAGGTAATACGAAAGCAACGTTGACACAATGAATGAATGGGCAACCAGAGAAGCACTACAATTCAGTAATGTGCGTGATATGAGATAGCACATTCATGCAGCTCAGTACGCAAAACTACCAGGCAGTTTTCCTTTCAAAAATCAACATTGGCGCCTTTAACATTTTGCTACAACTAATTTTAGCTCAGATAAAGGTTAGATTCAGGCCGATTAACAAAATACATGCTGATGTAAAAATATAGTGATATACAACAGGTACTTACATCAGCACTGGAGCACAGAGAATTCCCGCAAGATATTTTCCTCGAATAAGATCCCAATGGAGGAAGTCTTGTATCGTTTAACCATATTTTCTAAAAGAGAGACGGGTAAGAAACATGTAGAAAATATGATCAGAATGCTATAAAATTTCATGATGCGAGGATACGCACACGCTTCTTAGAATGGAGTTGACATTCTTTTGCTGGACTGGAGCGGACTAGTTCTTTGGCCACTGGAATCTGCTTATTATCAGTGGGAGTTGGGTTTCTCTGTGCTGGAGCAGTATCTATAAAAAATGGAGTTGGTTTATTATCTGCTGGCATTTGGATCTTTTGCAAAGACCTGGTTTGTAACCCTTCAGATTCTAACATAGCCATCTTCCCCTTGCATGCCTTATATAGAAGAATGGTGGTTCAGTTATAAAACATGCTACAGCAGAGATGGAATAGGTACTGAAGAATAGAAAGGCATGACATATTGACATGTATTCACTCCATCCAGAAATAAACGGATGGGTCCAGGCGTATTTCAGTTCTAGATACATCCAGTTTTATCCATTTCTGTGACATTTAATCCGGACGGAGGGAGTATGATGTAAGAGCTAGGGATACGACAGGACAACACAGTAAAAACATTGAAAACCGCACTGCAGAACCAAAGTATTCAAACCCACTGATATGAGATAGTACACTCATGCAGCTCAGGATGCAAAACTACCAGGCAGTTTTCCTTGCAAAAATCAACATTGTGGCCTTTAATCATACATTTTGCTACAACTAAATTTAGATCAGATAAAGGTTGGATTCACGTCGATTAACAAAATACATGCGGATGTAAAAATATGGTGATATACAACAGGTACTTACATCTACATTGGAGCACAGAGAATTCTTGCAAGAATCTTTCCTCATAAACGATACCATTGCAGAAAATCTTCTATCTGTTAAGCTTATTTTCTAAAAGAGAGATGGGTAAGAAACATGTAGAAAATATGATCTGCATGCTATAAATTTCATGATGCAAGGATACGCACACGCTTCTTAGAATTGAGTTGACATATTTTTGCTGGACTAGAGCGGACTAGTTCTTTGGCCATTGGAATCTGCTTATTATCAGTAGGAGTTGGGTTTCTCTGTGCTGGAGCAGTATCTTTAAAAACTGGAGTTCGTTTATTATCTCCTGGCGTTTGGATCTTTTGCAAAGGCCTTGTTTGTAACCCTTCGGATTCTAACATAGTCGTCTTCCCCTTGCATGCCTTGTATAGAAGAATGGTGCTTTAATTATAAAACATGCGGCAGCAGAGAGATGGAATAGGTACTGAAGAATAGAAAGGCATGACATATTGACATGTATTCCCTCCATCCGGAAAAAATGGATGGGTCTAGGCGTATTTCAGTTCTAGATACATCCAGTTTTATCCATTTCAGCAACATGTAATCCGGAAGGAGGGAGTATGGTGTAAGAGCTAGGGATACGACAGGACAACACAGCAAAAAAACACTAGTTGAATGTAAAACTGTATGCTAGCGGAATACATACACAAATAACTAAGGCAACATACACGTGTATGATTGGGAAAATAAGATGGCATTGCAACAGAGCACTAGAACAACACTTCAATGTAAAAAACATGGTATGGTAGGCAGATGAAGTACATACTGATGAATAACAATGCATAAGATATTCAGAAGCATGATGTCCAAATTAAGCAGATGGCATTGCGATAGAGTAGAATGACAATACTTAAATTTGAAAACATGTTACCATGAATGGAATAGGTACTGAAAACCAGGAAGGCATGACATATTTACATGCATGATCAGCATACTAAGCACATGGAATTGCAACAGAGTAGATACACTCCAGGACATTATATGCATGTTGTACCCATATCACAGGCCAAGTTAGAGCAAGGACCTTGTGGGGTGAAGAGGATTCATCATCTTTCTGCAAGTCTTCTGAAGAACTGCCTTTACATGTTCCATCATATTGGGTATCATTGACATCAAGTTTATTGGCCTTTACATTGCTCCGTGAGGTTCTTGTGGATATATCAGTGTGTGCAATTATATCTGACATGCATGGAAGACAACTAATAGTTAGATTTATGTAATGAGTGCATGTAGGAGACGACATAAATAGTAGGACTGGGGTTAACTAGCAGCAACAGGTCTCATAAACTAAAGGGAGAACACAGATGAAAGTTACAGAATATGTATCGTTTATACTCGAGATTAACTAGATGGCACACAAAAGTATTAAAGAACAACATAGGAAATACTAGAAGTGGTATAATACTGTAATCACCAGCCTGTGGGATAGCATTGGCTGATCGATGATAACTATGGAACAGTGTTACCTAAAGAACAAGTATCTTAGTTGAACTATGGAACAACGTTAACTCCTGAACAAGACCCGTAAGAGATCAGCATGAATATACAGTGAAATGTGATGATCTATTTTCCATGCTTAGATGAATAACAAAGCCATAAATGTTGCACACAAGTAAGATGAGGGTACAACCTATCTGCCTGCCATCCATAGGAGTGAGCATCATGTGCTGACTTGTCGATGGCCCTACAGTTGTTGTGGATGTGCATGTCGGGCACGCGCATTCGATGCAGGGAACTGTTGAGTGGGGACTATAGCTCCCTTCTGGTGTATGCTTCCCTTGTTGGAGCAGCTGCGGCGAGTCGGAAGACGGTGTGTCTGAAGATGCAGATAACGCATAATGTTAGGAACAACATATCTCTTTGATCTGAAGAAATACACTAAGAGATCAACGGCAAGGTACGAGAGTGGTCACACGTCTGTTGACTGAAGACTAAATTGGGGTCACACGATTTTATTTTATTTTGGTACTGTCTGATCAATGCTGGATGGCTGGCCGTCTTGTGCCTCCTGGCTGACACTGTTCGGAATCTTCCCCGAAGAGCCAGCGACCAACGGCAGAGCAGCCTGCCTCCACCGTCTGTGGCCCCGGCCAAAACGCCGCTCCCCGCCCCACCGCACTACCGTGGTTGCGCCGCCCCCGGGCCAATCCACAAAGACTCCCCGTCATCTGGATCCGGTGGCGGCAGTACCTTCAACCCGTGCAACTCTAAAAGATAGCCATCTAAGCGCTGCTTCCGCGGTGAAGTTTGCGGCCCCACACCCTTACGTTAGACACCAGCCAACCGGTAGCCTAGGAGCTCCGCCGCCTCGAGGGGTGCTGCTTCCCATTGCAAATCGATTGGCCCAGAATAAAAATTCAGACAACTGACGCCTAAATAAAGTGATTTGAGATGAGGGTGCGACCTATCTGGCGGCATGGTGAAGTAGGCAGGTATCGGGGATATACCCCGCAGCGTAAACCGGCCAGAAGTATAACCCGGCCGGACTTGGCGGTTTACTTGAGACCAGGTTGACACTTGGCGATTCACTGGCGACCCGCCCTAACTTGGCGGTTACAAGGCCCAGGGCCCAGAAGGCCGGTTTATGCTAATGGAGGGTCGGTGTAAGAGAAAAGGTGTATTTTCCTTACAAGGAGTCAAGACCCGGACTTGTATCTGGTTTGTATTAGAAGATAGACTAGTCCTAATCCTAATAGGACTCCACATGTAACCCGCCCCTTCAACATATATAAGGAGGGACAGGGCTCCCCAAAAGGGAGAAGGGGGACAGGTTCCACAAGTTGGACAAGTTAGGTTTAGACAATAGCTCTCGAGATAGAGCACACTTGTAACCGTGATCATCATCATCAATATCAATGAAGCAGGATGTAGGCTTTTACCTCCACCGTGAGGGGCCGAACCTGGGTAAAACATCACGTCTCTCATCCCGCTCAACCCCTCTCAAGTTACCACATAGATGTGTTGGCCTCGCGACTAAGTCCTCACACTAGGACATCTGCCGTGACAAATCCATGATAGTTGGCGCCCACCGTGGGGCATCGCACGGTGGTGTTGAGTTCTTGGAGGGATCTTTCTAGGGTTCAAGAAGTTCGCAATTTTTCCAGATGAAGAAAAGCTCAGCTCGGAAGGATCGGCAACATCTGCGAGTTCATCAGCCCAAATTTTCCGGTCCGTGAGATTTAAGTAAGAGAAGAATTACGGTTACGGTTGATCTGCTGCCGCCGTCACACGATTTATTCTGTCGTTTCCAAGTCGCCAAAAACTAACAAAGACGCATCTGATCAAACCGATGCCTCACATGTGCCTGTTCTACTGCTACTTCGACTCCAAACTGGATATCGAGACAATCTGATTATTGCCAGGGTCACGGTCAAACAGGAACTTAAAAAAACAGAAAGGAGAAGACGAAACAGTCAATGACCCAGAGTCAGACTCAGCCATGATTCGGATTGCCTGGTTCCGCCTCTATGTCCTACCCGCCGCCGCTGGCGCGCCCGATCGATGTCGTCTCTGAGCCGGCCCCTGCAGAACTGCCTCTACCTCCGTGTTGACCCACCTGGGTGCCTTCGCCTCTACCGCGTCGCTGCCGCCATGGCAGAGCGGCCTCACCCTCGTTTCAAGCCATCTCAGCACGGCCGCACCTTCGCTCCTCTGAGCCGCCATCGCGCCCTTGCTCCACCGAGCAGCGCCAAGCCACCTCTGCGCCCCCGCAGTCACCGCTTCCACTGCTGCTCCGGGCCACCGGAGAGCCGCCCTGCTCCGCCTCGCCTTCGGCGTGACGAGCCGCCTGCTCCACTGTGGCCGAGCGCCGCCTACCTTCATGGTCGAGGTTAAGTCGCCACTGCCTGGTCCTCTGACCGTGGTCCGCCTCTCTGTTGCCAATTTTTTGGGGCACCTCTGAGTCGCCGCCTCCAAAATTGACATAGCCCGACGCCGCTTCGGCCGCAGTATACTCCAGTGGCCGAGACCGGCTCTCTTTCCGCCACGTCCCGTGATGGCCGGGTAGCATGCCGTTGTGTCCACACGCCGGCGAAACCCGACGCATCGCTGCCAGCTGCGCCGGACTCCGTCCCTGCTTGCCACTGCTGAGCCGCTGTGCCCGCGTGCACAAGCTGTCCTTGAGCGCTCCTGCGGCAGCTGTGTACCCAGGGGAGGTGGTGCGTGTATGCACATCTTGGATGTGATTAGTAGTGCTTCTTGGTAAGCTGGGAGTAGCATGTGCTACTACTTGGTTCAGTAAATGGTCAAGGCTGTCGTAACAATGGAGATTGCACCTGCAGCAGTGCCGTACGTCGCAGGGTCCGGCCAGTTTCACTGTCATCGCAGCTCGAACCAGCGATGGAGTTATTATTAACATCAAAATCTGCTTCAGCATAACTGGGGAGTGCAAAGGATTTCGTCCATGGAACCTAGGTTTTGGAGTTGCAATGTACCAAGACCAAAAAAGGAATTTACGATGCAAGTCAAACTTCAGTGGACCTTTGGAAAAAAAAGGTTACAACCACAGCTCAGCTCCAAGGTGCCCTTACCCGGGTCCTCTTGTGCGACCCGCGCCCCGTCAGCCGGATGTTACTTGTCGATGTGGGGAATCCTAATATTTACGTCCGCAAACATTCTGCTTCAACTCAATTGACTATTGAAGAAACGCAAGTTTCAGTTTCGGCGGATACAGAAAACATACTTGCTATGGGTAATGGGCTTTGTCCTGCTGATGATTTGAGCTCAGGGATTTTCGGGTGTGTTGAAGGGCTCAGCCTCACTTCTACCTCCGGTCCGCGGGTGCACTGGCTCCCCTCTGCTCCAGTAATTAGTGCTGGCTAGAAAAGAAAAATAAGTCTATTTGACATAGCGCTGGGCTGTTGGATGCTATCCATAATTTCAATTGTGGATTTATATGCGTCTTAAAACTTGGTCTGCTCCGTCTCTGCCTATCTGACAAAAAATGCCAGGTGATATCCATCCAAATTTATTCTATTAAACATATTGTTTTTTATCAAAAGAACAATTACTGGGTTTATGATATTTTTCCGCAGGACCATTATTCCTACAAAAAGGTGTCGCAAAAGGGGCGTGGACAAATATTATTTTTTGCGCTAGCGCTCGTCCTGCACAAGTTGCCACCCCCGCGACATCAACTTTGCCCATCTACGAGGCTGACAACGCCTGCGATTGACTTAACTATCCGCACGGCTTATTGCCCCTGCGATTAACTCGCCCGACCGCACCGGTTTATAGTGCCGCAGCCGATTCATCTGTTGTCCGGGCAAGTTAGGTGAAATTCATCCAGTATATTTTATATTATATATTGCTTCCTTTAAAATAGCAATTACTCTGGCTTGCAAGTTCTCGAGTGCAGGACAAGTTATATCACTGAGACATTGAATGATTCTTACCGGTTTATGCCACGATCAAATGTGGAGAATCTCAAGACAACTCCTCGAGTCGTCTTAAGACTCGGGGGCTACAATGACATGACTTGGGAACTCTGGGTCATTGGAGGGAATGATAACCCGGTTCCGGAGGACACTGCCATATTGGTGAAAATTTAAAGGCCATCAAAAAATTGTCGGTTCAAAATAAAGATTCCGGTTTAAAATCTGGTTCAAGAGACATCTCTCTTGTGCAAAGCTTTGAAGCTCTCAAATCCAGTATAAAATGTCCAGTTCAAAAAGGAATTAACTTCTCGCAAGTTCGAGTTTAAAGGCCGTCAGAAAATTTCCGGCTGAAAATGAAGATTCCGGTTTAAAATCCGGTTCAAGGGAAAGATGTCTCCCACAAAGCTTTGAAGCTCTCAATATCCGGTTCAAAATCCCGGTTCAAGAAGAATTTGTCTCTTGCAAAAAGTTAAAAGTTGCCGAAGAGAACCTGCTGCCATGATGCGCGGTTCAAACATGGGTATCCCGCCTTATTGGCTTATCATATTATTAATCACATGGGGGCTTCTATTTCATAAAGCAGTGTCCAGTTTACCCCTTGATTCAGCTTATCAAAGCTTATATAACATCACTTGGGGGCTTGGTCGTATCCGAAAGATAGCTACACCTCTTGATTGGCGCAATGCCACAACATCACTTGGGGGCTTGGTCGTATCCGAACCATAGTCACACCTCTTGATCGGCTCAAAGCCAAATCAATCCGCGGCCAAAGAGAGTGTTGTAAAACAACAATTCAAACATAGGCACCCACTGAGCACAGCTCAAAACGTTACTTGGGGATTCTTTGCTATCGCAACGAACTTAGAATCTACACTTGTAATGGGCTATCAAGCCATGGCTTGGAAGCCTGGTGTATACACCTAAAACCCCGAGTTAACCTACCTCTTTAAGTAAGTTACTCCGCCCAGGTAAACCTGGTATGACCCTTCGAACTTTGACAAGTTACTCTAAAATACAGACCCTAAACTTGTCAAGTTAAAACGATGATTGGTTAAGGATTGAGGACCATCTTAAAAGGCTTTGCAAAAATGGTTTAACTTAGTGGACTGGTAGCCCATGAAAAGCGTCAAATTTGGGGCCTGGCAGCCCGTGAAAAGCCTCAACTACAACGGTTTTTATTTGCCTTTTGCTAAGTTTTTCTTTTCATAAGATTTGTGATGTTTTTGACCCGGTGTTTATCAACCCGGTTAGGTTGTCAACTATAAGTTGTCAGTACAAGTTACAATCCGGAGATTATTAACCTGGCCTGGTTTCGACTACAAGTCGCCAGCATCGAATATGGATAATCCGCTGTTTATCACAACCCGGTACGGTCTTATCATAAATCGGCACAATATGGAAGGAGTTATCAGTACTCTAGATTGGGTTTATTACCTTTACTACAAAAAGTTGGTAAAACCAACAATGTGATTCAATGTCACAGGTATGATATATTTCATATTTGATTATTCTTAAGTGCAGCCTTGGTTATAAACCCGGGTTATATGTTGGGCATTATGACCCGTACGGTGGTAAACCGCCAGGACACTTTAAACTTGTTGTATGCAGAAACAGGTTTGTTAAACTGGCCTGGCTTTGGACTATAAGTCGCCAGTATATATATTTGGATTGCGCCATTGGAAAAGTGCACTTATAAATCATTGGGTTATATTATTCAAATAGCCAAACTTGGCTGAATTTTCATTATGATATTGAATGAATAAGGTTTTCATACCGGATTATATTATCTTGAATAGCCAACATGGTTGGATTTTTATGGTTATTAATAACAGTATTATTGAGTTTTCAAAGTCGCTTTAGCGCAATGGCTATTATTTTATCAAAGGATATGATTTATTCTACAATGGAAGGAATAGTCCCGAGTCGCTGCAGGCTTACAACCCGGCACGTGGGGGCTACATTATTCAAATTGAGATTACATGCAAGTCTCATGTCGCTGCAAGCATGCACCATGACACTTGGGGGCTAATGCAAAGTCATTTTTACTAGTCTTATTGAAGACCCGACTCATCATATTATAATGAGCCGGCCCTTGGGGGCTACCAATTGCTCCTGTCAACAATTCAAGGTATACAAGTTTTCGTCCATAATATTGAAGGATCCATTGCTCAGTTGGTAAAGCACAAAGCTCTTAACCTTGTGGACGTGGGTTCAAGCCCTATGATGGAAGCTACATTATAAGATGTTATTTTCATTGAAGTATATATCAAGTCCCGGTTCAGTATTATCTTACTAAGCCGGCCCTTGGGGGCTACACATCACTGCTCAAGCCTACATGATTATATTTACAAAGTCCCTGCTCATTATTGCATAATGACCCGACCCTTGGGGGATACAGTGATTGAAGTTTTTATAAGCAATTACAAGTCCCAGGTTGCTGCAAGCATGACAACCCGGTACTTGGGGGCTACATAATATGGAGTATTCATTTTTTACTAGTGACTGGGATGAACAACATGGATTTCTTCAAAATTGGTAGTATTTATATTGAAGCAAGTCTTAAGCCATCACTTTGTTCTGCTCAAGACTTGGGAGCTACAGGTATTATATTATTATTGAAGAAATATTTTCAAATTCTCTGTTTGAGCAAACCAGATTGACCCGGCGTCACCAATCATTATGACCCTGTGGCTGCAACCTGGCGTCATCAATAATCATGAGCCGGCATTGTGAACCGGCGTTCGCAACAATCATGAACCAGAATTATCAGTTTTTATAACCCAACAATGGTGGTAATCATAAACCGGCAAGTTCTACATCTTCAAGCCGGCTGAATATCAGTTGAATATTTGAAGACCAATATTTTTGTCAAATCAGAGCATTGAAGGCTGATTCGAATGGATTCTTTATTTACAAAATATCTTCTGCAAGAAAATTGATTATGAAGTTGGTCTATTGACTCGGATTTTCTAGAAGGAGGAAATAACAAGGATTTAAGGATGATCAGGTGCCGGTTTACAAGAATTTTTAACCTGGAGTACAACTTGTCAAAGTTGTTCTTGTGTTTGTTTACAGGATCAGTTTACCATGGATAAATCCAAGCTAAACTGGGGGCTAATGTCGGGGATATACCCTGCAGCGTAAACCGGCCGGAAGTATAACCCGGCCGGACTTGGCGGTTTACTTGAGACCCAGCTAACACTTGGCGATTCACTGGCGACCCGCCCTAACTTGGCGGTTACAAGGCCCAAGGCCCAGAAGGCCGGTTTATGCTAATGGTGGGCCGGTTTAAGAGAAAAGGTGTATTTCCCTTACAAGGAGTCAAGACCTGGACTTATATCCGGTTTGTATTAGAAGATAGACTAGTCCTAATCCTAATAGGACTCCACATGTAACCCGCCCCTTCAACATATATAAGGAGGGGCAGGGCTCCCCAAAAGGGAGAAGGGGGACAAGTTCCACAAGTTGGACAAGTTAGGTTTAGACAATAGCTCTCGAGATAGAACACACTTGTAACCGTGATCATCACCATCAATATCAATGAAGCAGGATGTAGGCTTTTACCTCCACCGTGAGGGGCCGAACCTGGGTAAAACATCGCGTCTCTCGTCCCGCTCAACCCCTCTCAAGCTACCACATAGATGCGTTGGCCTCGCGACTAAGTCCTCACACTAGGACATCTGCCGTGACAAATCCACGAGAGCAGGTCCAGCTGCCGAGTCGGTGAGGCCGGCGCGGTTGCGGTGGCGACCGGCGGCAGGGAAAGAGTGATGTCGTGACGGTCGACGGCTACGCCGAAGCAGCGCCAGGACTCTGGACGGACCCGAAGTTGGAGCCGCTCCGGCACCATGAACAATGGCGGGGGTGAATCGGCTTCGGTACGGTTCACGCGGCCGTCGTCGAGGCAGCACCAGCAGCACGGATTAAGAGGCACACGGCCCAGTGC